CTCTTATACACATCTAGATGTGTATAAGAGACAGCTACAGGTCTCTTCACGCACGCACGCACACGCACGCACGCACCCCCCCGCACGCGCGCACGTGCACACTCTCTCTCACACACACACACACACACACCAAAAAAAAAACAAAAAGAACGAAAATGGATAAACGATCCAGCCACGTGGCTGCGGCATGTGACGCCCCTCCCCCCCCTAACCCTCCCCACGCGAAGCAGCGTGTGTTTCCTTACCCACTCCATTCTGTTAATCGGTGATTGATGTCTCCTTATGTTTCATATTCCTCGTCATCTTCATCTGTCAGCGTTGTCATGGTCAGGTGCTCTCTCTCTCTCTCTCTCTCTCTCTCTCTCTCTCTCTCTCTCTCTCTCTCTCTCTCTTGCGCGCGTGCGCGCTCGCTCGCTCGCTCGAGCCTTCGTGCACGCCAAAAAGGAAGCATGACTGTCCAGACTGTTTCATCGGAGGTTGAACCTCGACAGTCTGCCCAAGATGCATCTGTGTGCGTGTGTGTGATGTCATGTTCGCTTTACACAACTCCATAAAAAAAGGTTCGACTATGCCAGACTGAACCAAGCACCGATTCCACGATGCACGTTGCACTTGTATTTAGCACGAAGCACGGATCCCCACGAACCAATCGCGGATGCACGTAGCACCCAAACCAAACCAAGCATGGAGTAGCATGAAGTAGCACAAATGCACCCAGTAGCACCGAGTAGCACGAAAATGGCACCAAAGCACGAACCAAACGCAACCAAGCACGGAGTACCAAGCACTGAGAGAAAGAAAGGGAGAGGGAGAGAGAGAGAGGGGGGGGAGAGAGAGAGGGAGAGGGAGATCCGCACGCAGAGAGAGAGAGAGAGAGAGAGAGAGAGAGAGAGAGAGAGAGAGAGAGAGAGAGACGGTACGCAGGCCGTAGGCAGGTTGCATGGATCGTGTAGGCTGTAGGTAGGCAGGTTGCATGGATCGTGTAGGCTGTAGGTAGGTTGCCTGGGTGGGAGTAGGCAAGTCAGTAGGTCGCGTAGGCAAGACCATAGGGCACAAAGTACCAAGAACGACGTACGTAGGGCAGTCTGTCGCGTAGGGCAGTAGTTAGTCGGGTACGGTAGTAGTTTGTCGCGTAGGGCAGCCGTTGCGCGAAGTCGGACAGCTCTCGTTCGACGCGAACAGGGCCATGGCACCGCCCTGCAACGGGCCCTCTTCTCAACGGGCGTGCCGATCCCGGCTGCCCGCGGCCCTACCGGGCCGACGGCCCGGATTTCCACAGGATCTTAAGACTTTAAGATCGCGCATCGATCCAGGCCGTCCGGCAAAGCCGACGGTCTGGATCGCTGCGCGATCTTAGTCTTGAAGTCTTAAACCACCACTCCCCCCGCCGTCCTAAATTGGGCGGGACCGTAAGGACAGGTTCATGAGGCCTACTGGTAGCACCGCGGAAAGAAGCGGCCGAGTGGCAAAAATGGCAAATGCATTGAATTGCTGCCGTTTTAAATATTTTCCCTGGACAGATCACGTCCAAATCTACGGACCCTCAAATTTCAGAGCTTTTGATTCATTCTTCTGAGCCCCAAAAATCGCAGAAGTTGGGGTACTTTTTCCGTTGGGACAAAAATGGAAAATGCAACGAATTGGCACGGCACTTTTTTTGCGGTCTAAACTTTTTTTTGTTTTCCCCTGATATTTTTCCTCGATAGATCACGACCTAATCTACAGGATAACAAATTTTCAGATTTTTTCGTCGATTCCTCTGAGCGTGAAAAATCGCCGAAGTTGGCGCTTGAAAATTGCGGGACTGGACCCGCCTGTGCCGACCAGTCGCCACCCCCCCTAAATCTACCGGTCTTTTCCTTCTGGCAGCCCGAACCCCCAATGGAACAAAACATTGGGGAAAGGTACTGGTGGTTAAGATTCAAATCCTGATGGATATAATAATGTTAGGTGCTATCCCCGCAAAGAAACAGGAGAGTTGCGAATAAGCCCCTCTCTTTTCCAGAAATCGTAAGCCCCACAAGAAATGCCGTTTCGGAAACGAAGTCTGGTACCTCATAGGCAAAATATGTTGGGGAGTAAGTCACCGGCAGGGCATCACAAAATTGTCAGTAAGCCCTTTTTCCCACAAAAAAAAAAAAAAAACAACAACAACGGCCGGAGTGGGTGGGGGGTCTGATGTGGATGAACGTCCTGCCCGTCTATCCAAAAGCAGTCCAGGCATATTAACAAGTTCACTCACCCTGCAGTGGGACATTCCATACAAGTTGCGCATTTCAGAAGCCCTTGTTTCAAGAGAAGGGTCTTTGTCTATCGGGCTAATTATTGGAAAATTTAGAAAAAAGAAGGGCTTATTCGCAATTCCGTCTTTCCCTCCACGCTCCTGCATCCCCCCACTGTCCACCATCCCGACCACAAAAAAAGAAAGAAAAAAGAAAAGGTCTTTATGTTGCAGTCTGTTCGGCAGATCTCATGGAAGCTGGCCTGTTGGAATGTCCAAAAGGAATGATATCGGAGAAGATTAGCATTCCCCTTGTGGTGTTCAGAATGAGCAATCGGCAGAAGGTTTCAAGGAGACAAAGTTACCCGAGAGTGAAACTGCCAAGCAGTTCATTATGGTTTCATTTCATAAGCTTTAATGCTAGAAAAAAATTGTGGCAAATGATTGATCCCCAATCCTCATAGGAATGCCGGAAGTACCCCTTCCACAAGCAAAACGCAAGGTAAGGATGCATGCTAAACAGTGGGTTGGTCTGTTTGCATGTGGTGGGGTTGGGTTTCCTTGTGGCCAGTCTTTGTTGGTGATGCCTGACTTTGACCGGTTGACTGCAGGCTGGTTCAAACGATGGACTATTCGACAATTGTTTTTGACACGGCACCCACCGGTCATACGCTTCGGTTGTTGCAGTTCCCATCAACACTCGAAAAGGGCCTTGGGAAGATGGTAGCATTGAAGGCAAAGTTTGGCGGGATCATCGGTCAGGTATATATGCTCGCACGCCTGCCTCAAGCAACAAACTGTTTTGCCGGCTGGCTGGTTCCCGTCGATTACGTGTGTGCTTGTTTGGGGTGCTAGATGGCACTAGGTCGATCGCGCACGACTGGGCTTGGTTGTTACGCAGGGTCAGGCCTCAGCTGCCAGTCGTGTCTCTGCACTGGAGTTGCATTGTTGTGGTCCGTGTACCGACTAAGTTTATGCTGTCTTAGCGCAAGCGTTGCCCAATTGACCATTCTGGAATACCGATATCTCCACCCTTTCAAGGTCATACGCACTATATAGCATTTTATAAGTTTATTACTTACTTCTGGACGGAATTGTGGCCAGATGCATACAGGCCTGGCCATAATTGCAGTCTAATGCATTTTGAAAAGTGCTAATGTGAGTATGCCCTTAGAAGGACATTATTACACTAAAAGGTGTGCTGAAGTTTCTGTGAAAGGGATAAAAACTGTTGAGATGAGGCAATGGTAGCTTACCGATGAACTTCGTCGATATGCCATGTCTGTCCATGCTACCGAGTTTTACGTGTCGGGCCAATGTTTTCCCCACCAACCACGTCGTGTCATCGGCTGTTGCCCCTTTTGACCACTTGCAGCATTCTTTTATTTTACCCTAACCCCTGCATGTCATCTTACGGTCTGCCAGTGTCTTCTTCCACTGCTTCGCCGTCCGTTCTCCCGCTTCTTTGGCTCTGTCATCATCCTCTTAGTCATTGTCTTTCTTCGCTTTCCCCTCTCTGTCTTCTCTTTTCTTGCTGTTTTCTCCATCCCCTCCTTTATCCCACCTAACAATACCTTTGCCACTGTACCGCCTTTTCGTTTGTCCCACGTAGCAGGTGCAGTTGTACAGCCGCATCCCCGTGCAGGCCTCAGGCTCTTGCAGAAGAGATCGGCCTGCTTCGTCACATATCTGCATTGGACAACATGTTAGCATTTTGACTGCCTGCCATTTCGTTAAAAAAAAAAAAAAAAGGGCGACGGCCTTGACATGTCATCATTGAAACTAACAGCCCTTAAATAATCCGGAATTGAAGTATTTTACTCATCCGCTTCTTGTGCAGTTTGAACTCAGGTCTGTATACTGACTGAGCTATGCCAGTTGGAGACTGCCTGCCCTTTCAATTCGTTCAGACATGCTTAGACCGCCACTGACTTCCACAGTGTCGGGAAAAGCGGGAATATAACCAAGACCGCATTCTTTGGGGACTGGGCCGCCGTTGGGTCCGCTGTTAATAAGATTCATCGGCGGCCTACTTTTCGTTTCCCGCCTCCGAAACTCCCAGGTACCAGCCCGTGGACGGTGTAGCAGAAAGGTAGTGGCGGTTTAAATGTATAGGGACAATTGGAAGAGGTAGGTTATCTTAGATGCTGGTCACTACACCCTCTGATCAGACACATCATCTTGGTCTATCTGAGAAATTCTCTCTTGAATGTGTGTCGCAAATCATTCAAGCATACTGGTACTGCATCTACTCGGTTGTACCGCCGTCGATGACCTTGGCTTGTTTCGGTTTTGCCACGTGATTCATCTATCAGTGCTTTTGCTTTATCCAATAGCTTGTGCAGTGATTCACAGCTCAGCATCTTTTCTTGTTAAACCACCAGTACACGCCCCCAGCCTTGCAGAAAAGTAAACTTGTCGCCACAAGAGAAATTTGAGGCGCGGGGAAGGCCGGGTAGTGCGTCGGGGGAGAAAGAGGTGGGCCCAGCAGGAAAAAAGGCAAATGGACTGTGGTTTTGCCCGCTGGTACACGTTCAGTCTGTGACTGTGAAAACACATGCACGGACGAGGCCCAGCTATAGCAAAAAGAAAAAAAGAATAATCTGAAACAGAAGGAACAGAGTGGCAAAACGCCCGCCACATCGTGGGAATGCACTATACGAGGGCAGGAAGCCCTCAAACTTCAGGCAAAAGGGCAGAAACGCCCGCTGTAGGCAAGTATGCAGTGATTCACAGGTTATGTATCCGCGCCCATTCTCTGTCTGAATACGGGCGCAGAAAAGTAAAGTGTTCCTGCCTCGTTGGCACTGAAAAGAAAGGAAAAACGAAAAAAAGAAGAAAAGAACTTGGTTTTTTTTTCGAGTGCCTGCCCGAGGAGAACTGGCAGTGCTGTGGGAATCCAGGTGTGTATCTGGCTGAGGAAGTGCACACTATGAATCTCGTGTGGACCATGTGGCAGCACAGCTGTCAGAGGACAAACGAGGTGCCCTAAGATCTTGCAGACAATCTCGTGTCGTAAGGTCCTCTGCTTTATTTTTTTATTTCTATATTTTTTGGAAACGCTCTGCTTTATTTTGTTTTCAGCTGTAAGGGAAAATTATATACTCCTGCCCGCTCGTTTTGCGAACAGGCAGCCATTCATGATGAGGCGCCTGCATCTGGCACCCGATATGTGCTATATACATGCGGGTGCTCTCTCCTGTGGGTGTTTGGCTGGGTGTCCAGGAGTGAAAACAGCGGCCTCCTTTTCATTCCATCGCCTGACAGCAGGTCCAGCACAGAGGCCGGTACCGGTACCACCCCAATTTTCCAGGAGCTGGTGCCCATGGCTTTCGGGCTCGGCAAAATTCAAAATTTAGGCTCGTACATTTAGGGTCGGGTGTACTGGTGGTTTAAGCAACTAATAAAATGTTCACAGACTTACTGACGAGTCCTATTGTGCGGCTGTGTTCCTCCCCCCCCCTCCCCCTCCTTGTTGCAGTTCTCGCGGATGTTCGGGATGACCGAAGAGTTTGCGGAGGATCAGGTGATGGGGAAGTTGGAAAGCATGAGGGCAGTGATCGAGCAAGTGAATGACCAGTTTAAGAATCCGGTGAGAGACCATCTCTTTTATGAAGTTTTATTATTTTATATCCTTTTGCAGTGTGTTGCACATGTTGGACAAAAACCCACTTTGGCTTTGGCTTGTTGCTTTTGTCAATTGCTGCTAATCATTCACTTCTGATACGACTTTTTGCGACGACAACCTTAGTGTCCCTTCCATTTTCCATGTGACATGTGGGTGGTTGGTCACAGCTGGAAGTCACAGAGAACACAAGTAATTGTGAGAATGAGAATGGGAGATCCGCTTTGTCTTCGACTTTTCCTTTGTCTTTTTTTTTTTGCTGCTAATAATTGGTTTATGCAATAACCATTTGCTGTCCCTTTGTGATATTTGGGCGATTGGTCACAGCCGGGAGGCACAGAGAACAGAAGTGGTGCAGCTTGTAGTACATCCAAGCCCTCAAAACGGGACTCTGTGAAGTGAAAAAGATGACATTGTGCGATGTGCATTGTGCGTTGTGCGGTGAATTTACAACCCTCTCTCTCTCTCTCCCTCCCTCCCTCCCTCTCTCTCTCTCTCTCTCTCTCTCTCTCTCTCTCTCTCTCTCTCGTCATATTCGCTATACGCAACTCCATGAAGAAAAGCATGACTGTGCCAGACTGTTTCATCGGACTTCACCACAACTCATCAGGAGGTTGAACCCCGACCGTTTCCTCAGGATGCATTTGATTGATGGATAAGGACTAACCATGTGTGTGTGTGTGTGTGTGTGTGTGTGTGTGTGTGTGTGTGTGTGTGTGTGTGTGTGCTGTTTTGACGTGATCAGTTGGCTGATGGCGTCGAACACAGTTTTGTGGGGAACAGGATGTTGTGACTGCTTGTTGTGAGCGAAATGTAATGTTCAGTGATTGTTGACCTCATATGTGACTGCTGTGCTACTGTGGTGGGTTGGCTGCTTGTGGGAAACAGGACCTTACGACCTTTGTTTGCGTGTGCATCCCGGAGTTCCTTTCGCTATACGAAACAGAGAGGCTGGTACAAGAGCTTGCTAAGTTTGAGATTGATACACACAATATCATAATCAACCAGGTCATCTACAAGGAAGAAGGTATGTGCTGAAAAAATCATGTTGTTTTTCGAACTGTCGGAATTCCACAATTCTTCTCCTCGACAGGAGTGCCGCAGCTACTGGCCAAATAAAATTCTAGAGCTGCAATCCTGCCGCCTTATGCCTGTGTTATCCTCTCTCTCCTTTCAGTACATCCTTACTCAGTGGAGACCATCATTAAAACAGGGTTTCTCGGAACTTTCTCCCCCACACTATTTCCACCCTGTGTCTGTTGCATCATCCGCCCTTTGCACTCAGTGTAAAACCACGTCAATCGTATCAGTCTCTCTCTCTCTCTCTCTCTCTCTCTCTCTCTCTCTCTCTCTCTCTCTCTCTCTCTCTCTCTC